GAGAGAGAGAGAGAGAGAGAGAGAGAGAGAGAGAGAGAGAGAAAGAGAGGACTTACGGTGCACGAGTTCACGTGTGTGTTGTAGCACTCAGGGCGTACATTCAAGCTACGACTCCTGCGCAGATGGTTGTGTCGTATTGAGCCGCGCTCAGCCGGGAACAGGCGACTGAGCTTGTCCACGTACGCGACGCAGCACAGGCCTTCCCATGAATAATTCTCACTCTCCATCTCTCTGCTGTCTCTACGCCCTTCCCGTGGATTAAACGTCTACGAAGTGTATTTGGGTTTCAGGAAGACGGGCTATGGAATTGCTTCTGGGTTGCTGTCGATGGCAGTTCCTCTCGCAATGTTTTCGTTTCGGTATCTCCCAACTAGTTGAGATTAGAGTGCTCTATTATCCACGATAGGATTTCAGCGTCACAACAACAACAACAACAACAACAACAACCTGCAATATAGCGCACCTTCTCTTATGAGATTTGAATTCCTATTGTATATAATATTTCTGATGAAATTTCAAACGTCAGCAGTAACAACAGCCAACTATAAAGCTCACTTCAAAGCGTCTCCTATGAAATTTCACAAGACACCAACAACAAATCATAAGACACAACTGTCTTCTCCTTTGAGATTTTCATCTCAACAAAGACGACGACGACGACGACGACGATGACGATACCCGTGTAGCGGTAGGACAAGAGTAGCGCACACACTGATCACACGTAACACGTCACAACGCTACCAGCATCATCATCACAGTACACATCCTCGCATACACGCGCAGCAGCAGCAGCAGCAGCAGCAGCACTCGTCGCCGTCGCCTCGCTGTCACACGCCGCGGCGACAGCAGCGTTAATTAGCAGCTGCATGCTGATTAATGTCGGCTGAAACAACAACGACTGCCATTCAGCGGGTCCTTCATCTAATGCGGGTGCGAGAGCAACCTTCAGCGCGCGCACTCCCACTATAAAGACAGGCGTGCTAAGCCGATCTAATCGCACAGGCGGTGACAACTTGCACCAGTCGTGAAACACACTAGACACAGACTAACTTCACGGCCAGAGTGGTAAATGCAGTCGGCTAACGTTTCGCCCGCCGCGCAACCGAGTCTATATAAATGCGCACGCGTTTAAGTTGAACTAACTTCGTTGATCATACTTGTAGCTGTGCTGAACCGCACTGGGCGGCGAGCGAGTTTTACACAGCCGCCTATTACACAGTCTTGCACGACGACGACGACCAGCTAGCACCCTGCTCACCGCGTGCCTCGAGCAGCCGCTCAAGCACGGCGTCGCGCGTGGCACCGTCATGCAGGGTAGCGCGTGTTGTAGCCGCTAGGCCCGGGGTAAGAACCGGTAGACTGACGAATGCGGCGACGTCGGCCACCTGAGATAACGATGAAGACGGCCCGCACGTTCTTACGTTCGTCTCTGCGACCAGAGAGTAAGAGAGCGAGAGAAAGCGCGAGAAAGAAAGCGCGCGCGAGAAAGAAAGCGCGCGCGAGAGAGAAAGCGTGCGCGAGAGAGAGAGAGATAGAACGACAGATAGATAGATATTGAGGGAGAGAGAGACAGAGAAATCGAGAGAGAGAGAGAGAGAAAGAGAAAGACAGTGAGAGAGCGAGAGAGCGAGAGAGAGAGACGGGAAAGAGAGGAAGCGCCGCAAGTGTCAAGCGGTCAGGTGTGATGGAGAGCTTAGGCCTATATGCGTATAAGTAGCGATGTGAGATGCAGCAGGTGACACGAAAGCCGTCCCCGTAAATCTATCACGCCGCATGCGTGGCCATCGAACAGCCAGCACGCGGGTGATTGACGAGCTGCGATGTGCTTGCGCGCGTACGGATAGATATATGACCGAGTCTGCGTGCGTGACTGCTCCGAGTTTTAGCATCAGTCCGGGGACCATTTCAGTCCGGTGGCAGGCAGTCTGACAGACATACGTGTGGGTGGTAAACGTTTTAGTATCTTTCTGGTCAGTATTTCAGTGCGATGACAGTCTGACAGACATACGTGAGGGTGGTAAACGTTTTAGTATCTTTCTGGTCAGTATTTCAGTGCGATGACAGTCTGACAGACACACGTGAGGGTGGTAAACGTTTTAGTATCTTTCTGGTCAGTATTTCAGTGCGATGACAGTCTGACAGACACACGTGAGGGTGGTAAACGTTTTAGTATCTTTCTGGTCAGTATTTCAGTGCGATGACAGTCTGACAGACACACG